AACTGAGATCCGGGTCCGGAATGGTGAAAATGTGCGATTTTGATGCATTTTCAGCCTTAAAATGGCCGCTATTCGGCTATCGTTAATCGGATCATGAAAAAAATGCATGTGCATATGTCCCATATAATGTGTGATGTATGAGTGAAGTTTGAACTTAATTGGTCCATGCATGTTCGAGATAAAGGTGATCACGGACGCACAGATGCACGGACGCACACAGGGCAAAACATAAGTCCCCGTTTTCGGACTACGTCCGAACGGGGACTAACAATAACACACAGTTAACACAAAAATATGAAACAACACTAAAATGTACGAGGTGGAATCGACATAGAGCATAACTGATATTTGGTTGGATGTACAATTAACCTGACAGCACTATTCATAAATAGCTGTCACTCTGTTTTTTCTGCTAGCACTTGGTGAAGGTATATAAAATACACATGCAAGAATTCTGTCATTTGGTGTAGGTGAATCATTGGTGTTATCAAAGCAAGTGATTTGTGAGTAAGCAGCAAACATGCAGTAAAGCATCTGTGCAAACAGTTAGTGAGCAAAACACAAAATTAGTTTTGTTTTGATGTGGGAGATTCCATTCCAAACTGTTGAGCTAATTGTTAGTAACACTCTAAGGAACTAGCAGAATTAAACAGAATGGCAGTTATTTTTGAATAGCGTCTCATCATCTGTATCCACCTTGATGCTCCTCCGATTCGTCAACTTCTTTATTTTCATCTTCATCACCTTCTTTGATTCCTTCAACAATCTTGTTGTTGACATCTTCTATCGCCTTGGTGATGGCTTGCTGCGCAGCTTCATCTCCTTGGAGTTTGGCCATCTCTAGTGAACGTTCAAAGGAATCTATCGCTGCCTGCAAATCTCCAAGTTTAACTGTAATACATACATGAAAGGGTTATTGTGACACAACAAATTTTTAATTGAGGAGATGCACCTATACAATGACATCATTGATACATTGTATTATGGGATAATCAAGTATTAGTAACAATTGCCTTTTTAAATTAGCCACAGAACATGGGCTACATAATTACTCAGCAGCATAAGGTTAACGCTTTGAAACTCAACTTTTGTCATGTGTGTTGTTTTGTTTTGACCATACAAGTACTGTGTATTCCTGCTAGTCACCTGATTGTGACTAAAAACATAAATCACTGACAAAAACCCACTAAATCAACAATTTAATACCAGAATTGTGATACACACACTTTAACCGATTGCCACAGAAACATAGTGGTTCAAAAATACATAAGAGATATTTGTGTTAAGGCTATTTGGGTGTTTGGAATGCATTAAGGATAGCAAATGTATTTGTGTAATTGATGTGTTTTTATATAGTCAAAAAGCACATCTGCTCATGTAGCATGTGCTTATGTAAATTACAGAGGTGTTTTTAAGATCCATAAATGTGATTTATGGTTTCACTTCTTTTGGAGATACGCTTCTAATAGAGCAAATACATCTTTTAATGATTCAGTTTGTGAGCTAATATTGGAGATGCCCTTGTAATAAAAAAAATCATACCTTCAGACTGTGCAATCAGTACACTAGCATTAAGTTGCCAAGTATCGTCTTCTGCCTCCTGAGCAGCACTCATGCTCTTTTCACCATATTCGTGTGCCTGTTCAAACTTGTCTATTTCTAAATAACATCTACCAATTTCATGGTAAAGCCAAGTACTTTCCAGTGGTGCTTTGCTGAGAGGAAGTTTCTTTTCCCACGCATCGATGGCCTCTTGGAATCTACCAATTCTGGCATAGACACGACCTAAGTTGTCCAGCGCACGCGATTGGGCATCACTCAAATCACTGTAATCATAGAATTGATTATTCAGATATTAATTTTAATGACAATATAATGATAATAGTCAATATTTATTCAATATAACAAGACAGTTTTGGCAATGAATACCTGTAATACCTGAATATGCAGTAAAAGGTTGTTGAATAATTACATTTGGTCCAAAAAAACAAAGAAATTAAAGAAAAGACTTGAGCATAGAAAAAGAAGGCAGCAATGGGGAATTATGTTTTGGTCCAAAATTAGAAAAGAACCTAACTTTTCCACCACCAGACTTTCTCGCCCCAAATTTTACTGCACTTTTTTTTCTTCAATATTATTGAAATGAGCCCTGATTTTAGAGCAAACAGATAACATTTCAGTGTATTTTCAACTAAAAAAGTGTGGCTGTGCTTGTCCCAATCTTCATAAAGTGCAGAATATAAACGGGACTATTTTTTGAAGTTGTGATGACAAGAGGGAACTGGTTGTGAAAAGGTTAAAAGAAAAATACTAAAATATTGGCATGAAAAGCTGTCATCCAACATCTTATACTAACTTTTCAAGAACTCTATTGCATCTCAAAAATAAAATATAA